GTAGGGAAATTACAAACATGGGATTATTGTAAAGAAAAGGAGAGGAGCCTGATGAAAATAATGACTTTACATAGTGCATAATATCTAGCCTTGACTTAATATCTCTCTCCCTAGCTTCATCCTGTGGGAAACAAGCTGCTCCTGCCTTATCTAATATCAATTTGAAATGTTTGCTTTGCTTCTGCAGAAATAAATGGTAAAAATGGTAAATGGTCCTCTACTTGTATAGCACTTTTCTATGCATTGCAGCACACTCAATGCACTTTCACACTATTTGGCCATTCGCACTTCCGGTCTGCTGCCACGCCACCACTACCACGAGGAAAGGGGAGAGTAGTGCTACCGCTGTGGGGGGGCTGGTCCACGCTGCGCGCCACGACGGCCAGCACCCCTGGACCACTCGGCGAGCTAAGGGAGCGGACGCTGCACTGAAAAGCCTGTCGGGTGCGGACCCCCACCTCCCCTCCCCTCCCTCGCCTCTCCCCCTTCTCCCACACACACACTCTCTCTTTTACTTAGGTAAACAATCTGAATACTTCTTCCAAACTTAATGCTACAGGATAAGGTCTTGGAACTCAGAAATAAATTAAATACAGTGTAGGTGACCAGCAAAAAACGATGCAACAATTCAAATTAAAGCCCAAATAATTGCTGGTTATCCCGTTGCATAATCACACAACGTTAAGCCACCTAGCTGATCCCGTCTCCCAGCTAGCACGGTTAGCTAACCAGTGTTAGCTGCCTTTGCTTACCTGTTAGAAGGATACGGAGGAATCTCAGCATCGTTCCCCTCACCGTTCCATCGGACGGCCGGTGGGGAGGGATGCCCGTTGTCCTGATGATGATGCCGACAGCCGATGAAAGCTACTGTCCACGCAAGGCATCAGCTAGCTTGCGTGCTACAATGGCTCGGGATGGCTAACTGACTACGAGCTAACGGCTAAGCAACTTTAACCAACTTGCCACTTGGGACGCGGGTGTAAGCTGGTTAAGGGCATTGTCAATGTGCGAGCAATGCTAATGAAGTGACAACAATTAATTATTGTCTCAAAATAACAAGTGAGGCTTCTGGTGACTCCGGGTGGCTTCACAATAACAGGATCCCAGGATAACGCTGGATAGGATCCATGCCGTTACGCCGCCCTCCTCACGTCAACAGTACGGGTGTATAGCCCGGAGTTTAGAGATGAGATTCCATCTAACCTTATCCTGCCCATAACCACCGACGGGAAGGGGCGGGGGGGAACAATGGATGAATCAGTCAACAAAGGCACAACAGGAAAGAGACATGTTTGCTGGCTCATTTCATCAAAAACTGAATTTCACATGAATTGATATATTATTGGATTAGAATTATTGATACATTATTGTGCTCATCACATGAAGATGCAGCTAATTTTAACTTACTTATATACCGAATTACTCCTGGGTATGTTGTGAGTTTCCCACCAAGGCTCACTTAGGTGTCATGACTGTTCTGTATTTTGTTCTATTAATCTGATTCTGAAAAGTAACTACTAACTAAGATTATAAAAAATATATATAGTGGAGTAAAACATAAAATGTTTGCTTCTGAAATGTAGTGAAGAAGAAGTATGAAGTCGCCGAAAATGAAAATAGTAACAGACAAATACTTCAAAATTGTACTTAGGTACAGTAGTTGAGTAAATGTACCTAGTCACTTTCCAGCACTGTGTAATAATGTGTACATCACTTTATTTTTATTTTTTTTGGAGCTGTAAAACTGGGTATACTTTTAATTACTTTATATACTCCTGGGTAGCTTGTGAATTTCAGTAACATTTTATCCATCCATCCATTATCTATGCCGCTTATTCCTGAATAGGGTTGTGGGGGTGCTGGAGCCAATCCCAGCTGACATTTGTTGAGGTTCTCTTAACCTCTAATACCATAACTATTATGCTGAGTAAATTTTATGCTATTGATTTTGAATCGGTAATGTATCTAGAAACTGAACGTATCAACTACAAGTAGTGGAGCTAAAAGTAAAGTATGGCAGTACAGTACAGTCTGAAATGTAGTGCGGCAACAACATAAAGTTGCAGAAGGTAAAACTGTTGAAACCATTAAAACAGTTGTGTAAGAAAACATTTGTCCCTTGCTATTTTTTACCCACCTGTTATGTTCATTTCTCAGGAACAGCAGTGATGTTCCAGGGTTACAGGGTTTACCATTACTAACCATTTCAGTCACTATTTAGTGCAATGGTGTTCTTTACCTCTTACAGATTATGGTTCAATGAGGATAATGCACTCGTTTTTTTATTTAAAAAAATGCATGTTAAAACTTTTTTTAATATACATTGGAAAGACCTACATATAAATTACATTATTTTTACATGACATTGATTTTTTTTTATTTCCTTTACATTTTGAAGTATTTTCTTTTTATGAAGTGATGTTGATAAATCAACATGAGACACCTCTTCTGTTCAGAAGACAAGAGTATCTTTGTTAACATGAATTGACCCAAACAGTATCTTTATAATATAAACATACAGGGGGAGGTTGCAAATATGTGAAATGAACCATTTTCATTTTATATGTTGATTACACCTATTAAGCCAAGCCGAAGAAGTTTCATACCATTAAAATACTTTTAACTATTGTTTTTAGGTTTTTTTAACGTTACAATGGGTCACTTTGACCTGCAACATAACAGGAGGATTAAATTAATTTTGAATTTGCATGTTATATATCTTTCTGAACAGTTACAACTTGATTTATACATGTTTTATTGTGGATGTTCAGCTGCAGTCTGTATTGTTTTTCACTGTGTCACCTCATTGATCTCCCATGTAATTCCTGTTGCCCCACTTCGTTTGTCTTGGCTTCTACCCACGCACGAATCATTTGCGTCATGACTGTGTCATGGCTGTGTCTGTGTTTTCGACACCCTGAGGAAGGCTTTTAGCTGAAACGCTCTGGTGGCAGCCATGGTCTCATGTGGACTGTGGGACAAAACTTGTTCTCAGGCCCAATTTGACCCCCACAATACGGGGCAGTTTCATTATTTTCCCCCCAGACATCCATAAATCAACCAGTGCTCTAAAGCTGAAATAATTAGCTGAATTCACTGGCAACAAGTTTGTTAAGTGATTAATTAAATGTTTTTCCAAGTACTCTTACCAGCTTCTCAAACATGAGCATTTGTTTTTGGTGAAAAAAAAAACATTTAAATATTGAAATTGAAATAATGATGGCAACTTTCTCAGTGTTTTCTGACAGTTATTAAAGAAATTAATTCTTAGATGTATTGATTATAAAACTGTTAGTTTTACTATTCCTGTGATTGAATAATCCAACTTTGCCTGAGTCTGTTCTAATAAACTTGTGACTAATTAAATTATGTAGAACTAAAGACATAGAGCAAACCTTGTGTTTTGAGGCCCCTGGAAAGTTGCTCACTTTGGTGTCGTAATAAAGGGTTTTCATTTTGCTCAAGCCTCTGAGAGTCTTGACTGCTACAACAGCTATGAAAGCATTAGGAAACAGTTCATTAACACTTAAAAAGAGCATTTGTTACAACTGACAATCCATTCCTAAAAGGGTGACTTATAAGTGATGGGAAAAGATGCCAATACAGGACCAGCAGTTCAAAATGACCCAGAACTCCATCACTATCATAGACATGACACAAATATTCACACTGTTCAGAAACTCAACAGCAACACAAGGTGTCACAATTCCACTCAGCTCCATGTGACCACTCCTGTTGCTGTCCGACTATACAAGACCCTTTCATCACAAGCCTGTGTTACCCAGTCAGAGAGAACAATGGATGAATCAGTCAGCAAAGAGACATGTTTTCTGGCTCATTTCTGAGTTGTCAAATTCTTTCCACCCAGTAAATGTCCTGACTCATTTTTTTCCCGTTGTATATCAATTTCCCACAGCAGAAGACTTGGCTTTTCTGTGGTCTAGAGTGGCTTTTTTCACTTCTGCACTTTGACCAAATGTGCTTACTTTTTAAGTACAGTTTATCATGCTAGCGTGTAGGAAGGCTTGTGATGGCAGTGAGAAAAACAAATCCAACAAAATACAGGTACTTCCTGAAAGACGGGTGCAACGTAGTTTTATTTTTTATTCCAATACAGAACCTCGTAACATACTGCCAAGGCTACAGCAATGGCAATGTTATTACTGAGAATAAACAAGAGTAAAAAAAACTGAGACCAATCCAGAAATGTGGGACTGTCCATTTGTCATCTCCAAGCAATTTATCATGGGAATTCATAACAGACGCAGCCAACTAGTCCTCTGTATTTATTGTTTACCAGTTATTGAGCCATGTTTACACTGCAGCCCTGCTCTGCTCTGGTCTTGGGTTTACTATAGGAAGATTTCTGAATTATTACATCAGTATTAGGATTAATCACAAGCACATGTCGTTTCTTGATGCATTTTATTGAGCCACTGGTCAAATAAGCATCCAAGTTCTCACTGTGTTGTAAAAGGTGGCTCTCTTCTTCACAAAGGAAAGAGTCTGTTTGTATATATTAATGAAAAATCTCTTTAATTCAAACTTCAAAACCAGGGCATTATAATTGTGTAACCAGTTTAAAAGTCATCATGCTGTCATTTCAAGGAACAGCATTATTGCCAGCATGAAGTTGTGAAATTACTTCCCTTTATTAACCGAGTCAACCTGCAGAGTCATGAAGAGAGGAAACAAAACAAATACATCATAAAATAACAAAACCTAAAATAATTTAGTTAACACTAGTCCTCTAAGAGATGACCTATTTCACAGGTTTGAAGTTTTAGTTGGTACCACAACTTTTCAAATTACTCCAATAAACTCTGAACAGCAAGCATTCAATAAAATAATGCATACAGCTATTTGGATAACAAAACAACCTGCTTCAGTTCCATCATAAATGTCTCTGCAGCACCATGTCAAAAATGTATATGCTGCTTTTACAAAGGTCCCTTGCCCAGTGCGTCATGGGATTTGTGTACCAACCATCGCTTGTCAGGAAAACCCCAAAGTTGAAGCATGTCTTCATTTGGAGTCTCCCAGCAGATGGACAATGAGTTCATAGGTGGACAGGACTATAGCTGTGTTAGGGATTTGCTTGATTAGCTGTGGAACAAGTCCTCTATAAAAAGCCGCGTAGCCTTCTTCCACCGCTATTAACCTCCCTGTCTGGAAGAAATACTTGTACTTGCTGCCTTCCTCACGCAGCCTTGTTCGAATGACCTCTGTAGGGACAAAAACAAAAAAATATTATTCATTTAAATGAACACTCCTCCCTGACATTTGTTATGTTGCACTGAGGAAACAGTGGTTTACCATGTGGGTAGGCTATGCAGGATGCACAACCCTTTGAAAAAGCAGCTGCCATCATCAGGCCCAGGAAGTCCGACGCACCTTTCTCCTTCTTACCAACCGGGGAGGTGAACTGGCTGTTGGCGAGGTGTTTTTTCAGTGTCTCATAGATGAGGAAACAGATCATGGTCTCTGAGATGCCGGCATAAGACGCCGTCAGGCCTCGGTAGAAGCCCCTGATTCCTTCTGTTTTGTAAACATAGCGAGCGCATTGCAGTCCATTCATCTTCTTCTCTCCTCTGGCTCTGAGACATGAGACAGATTAGGCACATTAAGGCTACAACTAGGAACCATTTTAAGAACTGATGATTAGAGCCCAGCAAGTACAGCAAACAGTTCAAGAATAAATATAAATAAATACATTTATTTAAACAGCAAGAAGTTTTCCTTTTTTTTTTTGTTTACTTGATAAATAACAAAATTGGAATCTGTTAAACTGTTTATCATCTAGGGATTAGTCACCCTTTAATCCAACAGGAAAGCATAACATCCTGTTTATCTTACTGGGTTGAATGAGTAACTAATCTAACCTAAACTGGGTTTGTTTGAAATCACTGAAGCATGTTACTCCATTCACAACGCTACCTTTGTGTTGCAGAACAGGTGTTTGATCTTTAAACACAGGGTTAATATACCGTCTACTTGATAATGTAAATATAGAATCCTGTAGCGTACACACAGCAGTGCGTCAGCACTGTGTATTTGTGGCATCAAGTCACACGCTCAGTCTCACATACTGCATAACTCAAGGACAGTTCCCTGAAGGCAAACTCTATTAAGGGTTTCTGTAAAAGGTCACATTATACAAGGTATCTTCCCATCTGCCACGACCCTTACACGGTTCTAAAATTGAACACTACAGTTTCTCTAGAGCTCAAAAAATATAATCCAAAAGGCAAAGCACACACAAGGCAGGTGGAAAAACAAGTGTACACACTTTTTCTCCAGCTGCATCCTTGTCTTGACCATCCAGACGGGGTTCATCAGAGAGTTGGTAACAAAAGCTGAGGACAATAATCAAAATAATCATTTTTGCTTAACTTCTATTAAGACAATTTGCATATCTTAAAACATCTCCAGAATATACTGCAATCAGATACTCTGCATTTGTCATGCAATTAATATGACCTTTTTCAAAGCCCTAACATTTTACAGGCCTCAGAAAGGTTCATGTTGCCAGAGGGTAGACAAAATGTATAAGCCACTTCAGAAACAATATCCTTTCGTGGGACTGAACTGCAATATATTGTACAGTTATTCATGTTATGTCCATTACATATATAGTATGTCACAAAAACAAACAGGGAGACTGCTCACCTGCAACACCAGCAGAGGACATGTGCACCATTCCGCTGTTAGGGACAAACAGCCCATTGAAAATCTCTTTAGATTTTGAGTATGCAGCAAAGTAAATGGCTCTGAAATACAGAACAAACTGGTAAGAACTCTGGACAGAAGCAGCTGTAAAATTTAAACACAGCACTTAAATATTATTGCGTCTTCAGTTTGAAAAGGTGCTTTTGTAAGAGCTGGGAAATAATGCAAATGATGCAAAGTGTATCTGGAACAGTCTGTGTCCTGGTGCCCATTCTCTCTGCTTGGTTTCTAGAAGAGACTATGGGCTGAATAAGCACTGGGTAGTACAGATGGCCAGAGCTGCTCTGAATGTAGGTCATGTCCAGGTAAGTCAGTGGAATTACTCAATAAAGGCTCATTCCGCAGCTACTCATTAACCATGGGGAAAATAAATTTTAACATGTCCTTTTTTATGTTAACAAAGTCCCAAAGTCTGATTAACATTTTGTGCAGTAAATGCATTATGATTATTCAGTTCACTAGACTTTACTTCTAAGATTATCAAGTATGAGGAAACAGGGCAAAGTTCTGACTATTTGTTGGCACTAAAACCAGAACAAAGGTGACACTGAAACTTCACAAGATGAACACAAGGTGTAAAATGTCCCACACAAATTTAAAGTGGGACAAGTAGTTCCCAGTTATTGGCATTAGCTTTATACCATTAGCACACTGGTTGAACTCTGTGCCTGGGAAACTTCAAACACAGCTCCTCATTGCTGCCTTGGTTTGTCCGCTGAATTAAATGACAGAAACTGTATGCGGGTGGGAGCGCACTGAGAAGATGCTGGCATGACAGCAGCTTCCTTTTTATACAGACAGTTGATGCCGTCAACCATTAGAGTTAAAAATACAGACAGAACCTCTTTGTGTTTTGTTTTCTTTTGCTAGCAGTTATGGTGTAACATACGCTGAAGTGTCCTGAAGAAACCACCAACTGAGAAACCACCACTGCTTCACTTCATAGTCTCTGCTTTCTTCATTGTTTTTGAATAGGTAAATTGTGCATGTACACTGAGATTGCCAGAAAGACCAAGCACTTTGTTAACCAAAACACCACACCCCTGATGCATATGAGCAACTAAACTGTGCAGTGCAGACAATCATTTCATTGTACCTTGAGGGGGCCACACCAACAAGGTTAGGCCCCAGGCCACGGAAAAGTGATCTTGGCCCCTCTTTTTCAAGAATTGATCTGAAATAGCAAGCAAACAGTCATAAACCATAAAAACACAAAGAAATATTAGACCGGGTTTTATTCGTGTACATGTCCTCTACATTTTGTTACAAAGGCCTTGGGTTCTATTAAGGGAATTAGTATGATATGCAATCATTCCTTGTATTACATCAGTCCTGTTTTGCATAGGTTCCTACATCAAGCCCGGTGTCCTCTGCAACACTTGGCAGCCACATCCCTGTAGAGTTTAACTTTTTGTAGATAGTGACCTTCACTCTTCACATGACTGTCAGGTCAGCTTAGGACCAAGCAAGAGGGGGAAGGTGCAAATGTAAATTCCACTGGTTTCTGTAATGCACACTTCACCTCTCAAGCAGTACTCAAGCATTCAGCTTCTCTCACACTGATACCCAGTACCCTCACAATGTTTTCCAATCTCAAGGTTTTCATGACCGGAGAAGGGGTTTAAAGGTTTATAATGAATTTTTCATGTTTTATACAAACATTAGCATTTAAATGCAAAGATAACTAATGACTGAAAAAAAAAATCTATCTATGAGCCAAAGAAAATTGACTTGAACTGACTTTTCATTCTCCAAAAACAAACAAAAAGGTCAACTTTTACAGCCCAAGATGACAACAGACACCAGTTAAGACCGGTTCAGTCTGTCCCTAGGCCTCTGAGTCTTATATAACACTGACACAGCACCGTCATTAAAACCTTCTCTTGCTCCTCTGACCAACTGGGACTGCTTCTGGTCTTGCCCAGCCTAAGCAAACTCATGAATGGGCCATTTTGATGAACCTACACAAACTTTGCTATAAGCCCATCTTGAGGTCAGGCAGAAAAGCTTGTTTTGAGTTACTCTTAACAGCTGGATAAGGACACTAAATATGAGCAGAATATTGTCTACTTAATCCTTATATTATTTATGACAGATTAGAGGCCTTCATTTTAAGACTATGAAGGCAAAAAGCAAATGTCACAGATGAAATCACAAGAACTGCACTGGACTATACACAACTATTCCATACACAGACAGTTACACACTAGACAAGTCTAAACAAGCCTTCTAGTAAACTAGAATGCCACCTTACAATCAGTAGTAAACAATTATATCAACCCATACAGTACAATCTTGATAAACTGCACTAGCTGTGAGAATGTTCTGTCCCTGTTTCTGCAGGCAGAAAAATACTGTTGCCTCAAGAGATAGCCCACGCTGTGCACTGCAGCACCATCTGCCTAACACACACACACACACACACAAACTTACCGTAGAACCTGCAGCAGCCCAGGTGCAACTGTGCCCTGTCGGATGACACTAGTTCCACTTAACGTGCCCAGGTGGACCTGGAAGATAGGCCGGAGGGTCAGGCCAGAGGACTGCAACCGTGTCTTCAAGACCTCCAAGGGGCAGGTCACGATGGCTCCCACTGTACCACTACATCTGCAAATTGATCGCACAAAAACAAGATGTTTAAAATCTTGCTAGCAAAGTAGCTTGTGTCCCATTGGTCAAAACATACATGTTTTGATCACTGTAATACAACAGTCAACTCATTTAGAATAGTCTCTGGAACAGATGTGACCAAGCCTGTGTACTGTCTAAAGGATAGACTCAAACATCTTAAAAAAATAACACCTGACATAGTTCTCTATTTACTGCTCACTGTAATCTATCCACCCCCTTTCTGGCAAACAAACACATGTGGCCATTTTGACATACTATATGCATGTATCCTGGAGCTGTGGCCATGACCACAAAGACAAAACCAAAAAAAAATCTATGGAGCGGGTAGTTGTGTGCTGTCATAAGATCAGTTCGTTTTCTGAGATGTGTTCTCAAATGGCTCGGCATACAGCACAGTCAAAAGCACCTATATTATGATAAGTCAGTTATATTTAAACTAAAAAGCAGTCGACATTCCCATCATTTCACAACACATCAAAACACAGTTTTACATGCGGGCTAAAATTAAGCTGGTAATAACATTTCAAGGGTAAATGGCGACAATTCTAAACAAGCTAACGTTACATTAATGTGACCTCAACTGGATGTCACATGGCTCGTCGTTATGTCTGAGTTGTAATAAGGTCAGGTGGTGATGAGCTGTTGACTTTGCTACACGGAACTATGGTTGTTGGCACAGCTTCACACTGCACTTCAGTTCTGCATAATGATAGCATACAACGTTAGCCAAAGCCAAGGCTAACATCTCGTGACACTGCGACGTCCAGACAGAACGACGATGAGAGACTTAGCTTAGTTAGCTTACCGCTAACTTGCGGTCTTGGGCTATACATTACAGCGTCATTTTGACATGCATTACATTACTTTACATGTATTATCTAAACATCGCGTTGTTACTCGTAGTACATATATGGCCTTAGAGTTCCAAATAATGAACAGTGGCACCTTGTTAGTTAATGCTAACGGCTATCAGGCGTTAGCAAACGCTAGTTAGAGTACAGTAGCTAGCTACAACGTTAATAAAAGATGTCGCTGGCCGGGTGGTTCATTTGCACGTCAAGTACTGTAGGTTATCTGGTTCAAATGTAAATTGGCAACACAGATGTTAGCTTTTACTTTAACCGAGTCGTTTTACATAATAAACAAGCAAGTGAAGAACACAGTGACAAACATGTTTAACATTACAGTACAAAGATGCAAGGTGTTAACACGGGCTATCTTGAATCAATATCGACTTTATGTAGTATAAGTTAGCAATGCTAACTGGCGGCTTTGTAACCTACACATGAAAAAGTAAATCATCTTCGATTTCATGATCACGACCATGTAGTCTTAGGTCGATTTAACTACCTCTTCGTGTTAGATCAGCCTTTTAAGCCGTAATTAACGTTCGTTAACTTCGGTTTGAAACAACAGGCTAACGTTAATGTGACTTACCCCCCGGCGAAGAGATGTAGTAGCGTGTCTTTCTGTGCCATCTTTTTCGTTTTTAAGCAGCCAACATACTCTTATTATAATTCTTTTAAAATCGTGTTACAGTGAAATATCCGACCTATAGCTCTAAGGTCCCGGCGTGCTACCGATTGTCTGTATCTGTACCAGCTCGGCAAAGCTGTAAAGTTAACATTAATCGGAGGTCAGATCGGCAGTGTGACCTGAACAGGCTGTTACTGTGACGTCGGTGGGCCGGACGGGGGTGTTGTCCGTGACGTAGGCACACGTGCTCTCCACCTTGTGTCTCTGACCCTTCTCCAAATTGTTACCAAACCTCCCGGAACAACACCAGGAAAACACTTAGAACTTAACTTACAAAGAGTCTCTCCTCACCTTCCCTGATGTAAAAGAAAAGCCTTAGTGATTTACAGAACCAATCAACATGTCCAGTGACCCTCATACAGTTTAGATTTACAGTGTCACCTACTTTTGTAGTAAAAATAAGGCAATGTAAGCTGCACTCATACGTACACTAACTGACTTGTTAATGACAAAATATATGCTAAACTATGCTGCAAAGGTCATCGCATGGCATAATGATACATCTTGATGCACATTACTATCTCAAAACAGTTATATAATACTTGTTATATCTTGCAGCAATGGCACTGTTCATGTGTCTACCTGGCATTAGTCTGTTCCTCTGATAGGTAAGGTAGGACTTTATTGATCCCACAATGGGGATCCCACAATTCCTGATAAGAAAACATATGATACTATGCCCTGTGAGTTATATGTTATAAAAGTATGAATGTAACTCCTGCTGACAACCTGATGATATCTACTGAAAAATAAGTTAATCACCTTAACAGCGCCTTGTTTGCTTCTATGTCTGCATAATAATATCTGTGCCATTGTGTAACAGCTTGCACTTGATTTTTGTCTTGTATGACTTCATAATATTTGATTTCTTGTATTGACAGTGTGCTCTGATCATGCTGTACTACCTGGGGTAGTACAGCATGGACCAGCTTTAAGGCACAGGACACTTCCCAGGACGCTAAAATTGTGGACCCACACCTCACAGACTTTTGAGAGAGAAGGAGTGATAGTCTCTGTATGGAGTGGCTAAAATAGTGTGTGTGTTTAAGTTCACTGCCAACCCTAATTTTTCATCACAACTTTGTTTGCAGTGACACTGCTATAGTTGTAAACTGATGTAATAAAGACAGGGGGGTCATATCTCCAGAACCCCCACTGCTGGTTGATTCCTCCTTCATGACTGAGTTGTTAAAGGCCTACAAATCCACACAGGTGTTATTCTGGCTGATTAAGCCTATTAGGTTTACTGAGGTCCACAAATGTCCTGCCCTAAGAGGCCTTTAATAGTAGACATTTTGACCTCTCATAGGTGTTAACTTCACAAATAGCTCTGTTCTACTGAAATGCTCTAGTAGACCTTGACAATGAGCCAGCGCACGCACTGTACCCAAAGTGGCTATATTTAGAATTCAAACTTTTAAACCATTTTAACTTGTGAAGTGGCAGGATTTTTCACAACAGAGCCTTAAAAATCACTGGGATTCCAATGTTGCATCTTAGAAGAGTAAGGCAACTCAAAATATATCATAACAGACTTGATATCTAGTTTAAGGTAGAAGGTAATTTCTACACATGTGAACTATAGAGGGTGAGGAAACAATCTTACTAAATATTTGCTTAATTTTACTGTTACAGCACCTTAAATAGGTTTTCAGAAGTTTTTATTTTTTCAAGGGTAAAGTTTGCAGCATTTAACAGAGTTATAACATTAGATTTGAGACTTAAAAAAAAAAAAATTACTACCTTAAAGTGTACTCATTTTGTCCATCCCATGCAGCTTGTAGTTTGGTAATATTTTCAGAATCGTTTTCCCTTACAATGCACAATATAGAATAGATGATTTGAAATAATCTTTAATAGATACAAATCTACAAGGAAGAGAAATAAACTGGAAGCTGCAGGCAAGAAAAAGGTGCAGCAGTGTGTTCACATGCAGCTGACTGCTGAATGAGGACCACGTCTGCACATTTAAAAACACTAGAGTCAACAGGTCTATGATATGGCATTCAACAACACGTTGGCAATCTGAGGTTTTCTTACACTTGTGCAGCACTTTGTGAATTGTCCTTTTATGCCATGAACCTGATTTAGACACAAGTCTGTTTCATGAACCCCCCACCCCACCCTAATGTCATAAAACAAACACTACATCAATGGCCTATGTGCCAGTGAGACTCAAAAGTAGCATGTCTTCATTCCAACCAATTATGACAGTACAGGTGCTACACTAGTTGGATTCCCTTCTATGGTTTAATATGTCATTGAAATCAGCTGACAACACACTGGTTAAATTAAAAATAAAAACAGCACTCTTGGGCCTCACTACAAAACTACTGCACTACAAAAACCAGGAGTGACAAAACAAACACAAATGTACCGAGACAAAATTCCTGCAGATGCATGCTACAAATAATCACAGTGTTATTATGCTTCTTACAATTTCTGCTGAAGATTTTCCTGTTAGATGCCTGATGGTAAGCAACAGGGCACTTCCATATTGCAGAGAAACCTGATAGTGCAGCGAGTGGTCTGAGCTGCTCTTTCGTTGCCTCACAGAGTATTCATCCACACTGCACTACAGACTCACTATGGAGTGGTCAGTATCTCCATTGTGTTGGGAACAGCAACTTTTATTTATTATACCATTTTAAAAATACATTTTCTAAAAGCAATTCCATGTTACAATTATCAGTTTGAGAGGGTGTAGAAGTTGTGTATGTGCTGCCACCTTTTGGTCAATACTGGGAATGCACTCATAAAATTCAATGTCTATCACACAATAGCACTTAAATTTAAAAGGCTACAAGACAGAAATTCATAATTGTAAAGCCTGGAAGTCACAGCAGAAATACTGATCACAAATGTCACATCAATCTGGATCAGCATGTGCATAGTGCTCAGTGATTCCTGATTTTATAAAGTTAGAGAATACAATTGCAAAGAGTCTTAAAAAAAACAGGATAAAGTCAAAAGTCCAGCCAAGCATACTTGTTGAATCATCCATGAGGCTGGCACAATCCTAGAGGTTTGGGCAATGCCACCAATCAGATTCAAAACTAGAAGGATCACAGAGAAGCATGAGAGAGAGATGAGGGCGTACTGCATGTTGTGACTGCTCGGTTATTGGTAGAGCAGGTAGTTCTTAAGAGAGGCTGGCAGGGGCAGTCTGTGGATTTCACTCAGACGGTCTCTTCCTAATGCCGTCCTCACTGAACGCCTACACAGGTCCATCAGAGAGAGCGGCTCAGCTGGAGGGGAGACAAGAGAGGGAGAGGCATGAGGAAGAACTTTTGTATAATTTTCGCTGGCAGGATCTCTTTTCAGAAGTGTAAATTCTTGTAGGCTTAAATCTGAGAGTCAGTGAAAAATGTAAGATTCATTTGAACAGCATTAATATCTGTCACTATGCAGAATAATAGTTTTTGTAGGCTATAAAGTCATTCTTGTGCTTGATAAAAAGAGTTGACAATTTGCTTCCACTCTACCATCAGTCCATATGATTGTCAAAATCCGAACCGTTTCATACTTTTGCCTACAGAGGAAGCTAAATAAAAACAGCCTCAGTCTATATAGGATCCATCAGAGAGAAGATATTCAACGACGAGGTTCACACTGATTTGAATTCCCTCTGAAGTTAAAAAAATAAACAAAAATCCCACGAGGTGATGTTAACACATCTGGGTATTGCAGAGGATTTCTCCCTGAGTGTGGACTGAAATGAAAATCAACCAATGTCTGTACTGTACATAAGATTAAATCCTAGGATAAAATGATCATTTCTGTGATTTGTTAATCATATCTTTGGTTTTTGACTGCTTTTTTTTTTTGGCCTCTCAATGTGATGGCAATAGAGTAGCTATTTTGAAAATTTTCATGATACCAGCCAGAGTTTTAGTATTTATACCAGTACAACACTCTTGAAATCTTTAAAAGAAGAAACATTTTTCTACTAAGTTTGTAATTTACAGAAATAAGAACTTTCAAATACATATCTTTGAGCAGCCATAAAACCTAAAACATCTCAAATTAATAAAATCTGATCTAGACAAGAAAATCTGATCTGAGAATTAAAAGCAAGACTTGAGTCTCAATAAATGAGTGCCAATTTAACACTTGACAATTTCCAGAATGTGCTACAGTGATTTTGTTCTGCCTTCAAGAAGTACTCGCATTCAGTATACAGCCCTGCAGACATCTCCCATTAATTTGGACTTTTGATGTAAAATCTGGGTCAGTCAGAAAAGAAAAAAAACAAAAAAAAACAAAACCAAACTTCCAGCTACAGTATATTCTGTAGCCAAGTGCCAACAATGTGTACTGGATTTCAACAGCCTTTAACAACAATGTATAAAATAAGGGATTTCCTTGCTCCACATCCAACAGGAAGAGGAATGTCATAGCAAATTGAAAAAAGGTTTTATGCATATCACTGCATCTATAGTGCCAATTTTACAAAGACCTAAACTAGGTCAAGGGATCTGAGCTGAACATAAAAGTCTAATGAGCACAGAGCGCTTGGGACATGTTGGTAGTACAGCATATTTTGTAAGCATCTCCATCTCCTCACTGAAAGCTCGTGATCTGATCGCCATGGAACAACTGGGATTAATCAGACTGGAACCATTTTACATTTGTCTGGGGGGTGGAAACAACCCACTTTTTTGTACATCATTAAAAACCACTGGATGTTTTAAGGTCATAAAAGTTAATAACAAAAGGGAAGGTTACAGTCATATCACGCTTTTACTCTGCTAACTCCTAAGATCAGGACACTGACATTTTCATAGGGAAAAGTAATTGAGGGATAGTTAAATATTCATTCATATGATATCTGGACTGCAAGGCAAGAACACAAGTAACTTCAAGTTATCATATTTACTGCTTTACATGAGAGCCAGACAGGCAGCCATACCGATGCCAGTTCTAGACAAAAATGCTGCTCTACAGTAACCCCATAGCTACTAATATGCCCTGCTAGAACAAACCCTTAGCTGTCACACCTGGGTCCATTGCATCAATAAATGTTGTCACTGGTTATGCAAAAGCTGTACACAGGACATTGTCATGAATCAGATAACACTGTCACTCATGACTGAAAAGAGAAACATTTCACATTTTTCAAGTTTGTACTTACGATCGAGTCCATTTATGTACCGGATTCGTATTTCACAGTGTCCCCATACGGCACTCACCACTGGGTACAGCTTCCTGCCCTTAAGTCCCCTGAATGCCACCCCTAGATAATGTCCATCCACTATGTAACCCAAAGTCCCCTCGTCCATGTCCAAGACTACTAAGAGGGAGTCTGGTATTATGAAGGTATCGTCTGGCTCGAGAAAGGCTGGGTAGGTTTTTCCAGCATGATTCTTGCCATCATGGTAGAGTTTACTTCTACACAGGTCCCAGCCCCAGGACTCGGCGTTGCTTCCTACCAAAGCTGTGTAGCCCACTGAGTGTAGTGGGGCTTCACTTGTAGCCACTCCGACCACAGCGTGTGTGCCCCTCTGACGCATGGCCCAACTGATCTCCCACACATGCAATCCCCTTGTGTAGCCAACACGACCCCGGATGGCGTCAGTGCTCTGTGCCACAGGGTGCCTGTGAAACACCAGCTTGTTGTCGTCCTTGACGAAAATGTTCAGTGAACGGTCATCATTGTTCCATGAGTGCTGGACCTGAATGTCCAGGCTGGCAGGTGGCATGTCCAACAGCAGATCCAGTCGAGATGGCTTAGTGTGACTGAGGGCCTGTAGCTCCAGCTTCAGGGGACTGAATGCAGGATCCCGCATATCAATGGTTTTAATGCCACCAGGAACTTTTTGCCCCATGCTCCAGATGGTTATAGCAGCTCCTCCTTTCTCCTCCTCCTCCCCCCTCCTTAAAGACTAATGGGGGGAGTAATCAGTCTCAGACTGTCTCCTCCACAATGCTCCAAGCAGCATAAGTAGCAGGTTTGTGCTGTGTCAGTAGATGCAGAGATCAGATCATGTGTTGTCTGAAGCCTATTTGAGAGATTGGAA